GGTGCCCTTTGGATAACGGGAATTTGGGTGGGAGAGCTGGGGGGGGGGACACGGAGCGCGGCGGTGGCGCAGAGGGGGACGAGGGCTTTGATCTGAACAACCGTCCCCGAGGCTCGCAGCGGCTCGGGGCGCACCGCAAGATCAGATACCGGGATTCGGGAGCCGTTTTCCCCCAGAACGGCCCCGAACGCTTCCCTTTGATTTCGGGGCCCCAAATCCCCCCCTCCCCTCCCCGAAAACCCTCGTGGCCTCAAGCTCTGCTGGCAGCGGGCAGGGAAGGGCACGGTGGCACCGCTGAGGTATCGCATCACCCCCAAAGCGAGCCCAGGACCCTTTCTCAGGCGCCCCAAAACCCCCATCCCGCAGGTTTCGAGCAGCTGGCGCCGCTCCCCAGCTGCTGAGGGGAGGAAGCGGCAGAAATAGCAACAGGATGTGCCCCCAGATAAGGTGATCGATATCAGAAAGCGGCGCTTTTTCAAGTCAGGGCTGAGCCCAGCTGCTCGAACAGGAGATCGGCCCCCGATAGGGGCGGCCCCGGCTTCTCGACGCCCCAATTTCTCCTGTCCCCGCTCATTTTGGGTGACCCGGTGACGTCCTCGGGGTTTTGGAGGGGCTGCTGTGGGAGGAGGGGGTGGATTTCGGGGGGCAGGAGGGTTCCGGGAGCTGCGGGAAGGGATGGCTGGTTTGTGGGATGTCCAAAAGAAGAGATCGGGGTGGATCCAGAGGTGTCCAACACACCCCAAAGGTGCTGGGGGGTAACCGCGACCCGCAGCACGACATTCCTGGGATGAGCCAGGCAGTGGGAGACAGCTGGGAAGGTTCCAGAGTTGGATTTTTTGGGAAGCAGCCGGATGAGACCTCCACGATCCCACAAATCAGCTCAGGCACAGCCGGAGCTCCCCATGGGAGAGCAGCCTCCTCCCATGGCTCATCCCGAGGATGAGGAATTCCAGGGAATGGGCACACGCAGGAGGGCACAGAGCAGCCCCAAAACAGTTCCTGCCGGCCCAAATCCCACAAGGAAAAACAGGAGCTTCCCTCCCATCCTTCCCATGGCCTCAGGAGCGCCAAAGCTGAGCTCGGTACTGCCGGGACATCCCCAGGGACATCCCAGGGACATCCCAGGGACCTTCCAGGGACATCCTCACCCCTCCTCAGAGCCCTGAGCTGCGCATTGTGCCCCCCAAACTGTGCCACCGCCTCGTGTCACCGGGCCCAGGTGACTTTTCTGTGGCCGAGGGCTCCCAGCCCAGCCAGCACCTCCAGAGGTTAAAAACCAAAGTGCTCCCGACAAAAGGAGCCGGCAAAACCCATCGTGCAGGTCTGGCCGGTCCCGCGTTCCCGGCTGTTCAAATGCAAACTCGGGCCCGATAAAGCCTGGATTGTCCATCCTAAAATCCCGGCTGATGCCACCAGCTCCCCTGGCATTGTCACCAAATCACCCTCAGCTCTGCCCCGTCCTCCAAAGGGCTGAACCTGTTTTTATGGCAGAGCTGGCACAGGGAAAGCTTAACAAAAAAAATAAAATAAAATAAAATAAAACCAACCAAAGTAAAAAAAAAAAAAAACCCTGATCTCTGTATCTGCAGCCATGCAAGGAATATTGTTCAGCGCAGCACAAAAGCATCCCTGAAAATAGAAGCGCCAGGGCCAGGCCTGCCAGTGGCTGTGTGAGATAACGTCTACTTGCAAACAGTGTGTCTTTGTGCCGCTGTCACTGTCCCCATTGTTCAGGAGCCTATTGCCTCGGGGATATTGTTCCCTCCTTTTGTCTCAGCCCGGCTCCTTTTTGTTTGACTTTACTTTACCATTTCATTCCTCTCCTTTGTGGCGCCGTTCTTGCTTTTGTCTCTTTCTCTCTCTCTCTCTCTGCCTTTTCTCTCGCTGATTTGTATTTAGCGATTGTTCCCGGCTCGCAGCGAGCACAAAGTGCTCCCGGCTCTTTTCTCACTCCATTCATTCCCTATTCAGGTGCGTCTGTTTGCCCATAGGTACCGGCAGGAGCTGGATTTGGGGGGGATGCGGGATTTTGGGGGGTCCTGGGAGCCCGCAAGGGGCGCTGGAGGCTGCTGGTGGCCTTTGGGGACAGCCAGCTCCCCGCGGCCCCCATCCCAGCGACAAGAAAACACCGGGAAAAGGACAAATGAGACCGCAGGTGGCCCCAGAGGAGCGGCCGAGTGTGCTGCAGGGACACGGGGGTGGCAGCGGAGAGGTGCCCGGTGCCACCAGGGCGGCACCGGGACCCCAGAGCGGATCCGAGCCCAGCCGAGCAACCCCGACCCTGGAATTGGCGTTCCCGAGTCCCCACAGCCCTGGATCTCCACCAGCCCTGCGTTTCGGGAGCCTGTGGAGGCACAGGGAGAGCATTCCAGGGCCTCTCCCGCTCCCGCTCCGCGGCTGTGCCCTCCCAGAGGGAGCCTGGGGGTGGNAGCCCGGCCCGGGCAGAGGGGCTGGGAGCACCCAGAGACCCCCAGAGCCCGCAGGGATGGGCTGAGAGCGGGGGGGATCCATCCTCCATCCCTCCATCCCTGCAGATTCCAGGGTGAGGGCGCAAAACCCAGCCGGGATTTTGGTGGGAGACGAAACCCGCCTGCAGGAGCATCCAGCTGGCAATATCCCGATTTTCCATCGCTCGGATCCCCCAGCCCCAAATCAGGGGTTTGACCCCTGCAGAGCCCAGGAAAAGCTCCCGGGCACCGCCAGAAGCGCTCGGGAAGGGCCAGCCCGGGCCGGAGCGCTCCCGGTGCATCCCGGGGCTGATTCCCTCGGGAAAATTCAACCGAGGCGCCGGGCAAAGGCTGCGGGAGGGGGAAGGAGCGGAATTCCAGGAGCGGGGAAGGAGCGGAATTCCAGGAGCGGGGAAGGAGCAGAATTCCAGGAGCAGAGGAGTGGAATTCCAGCCCCTCCGCAGCTCCTGGATGGAGCAGGACCAGGATCCGCTGTGCCCAGGGACACCCCTGCTGCTCCCAACAGCCGGGAAAGGCAGGAATTCCAACCGGGATGAGTCCTGGGGGACAAACCCAGCCTGGGGGATAAACCCAGCCTGGGGAGGCCCAGACCGAGCTCAGCTCAGAAGCAAAGGCAGCAGAAAAATCCAAGGAAGAGGGTTTGGGAAAAGCGGTGCCCCCTTGGAATCTCTGCCCTGCTCCTCCTCCTCCTCATCCCGGGAATTCCTGCCGGGATTGGGATCGCGGAGAGCCGAGCCCGCAGCTCCCCCTTCTGTCCGGAGCCCTCTGGAAGTTTTTTCCCCCTTCTGGCAGGAGTTCGGGATGCTCCAGGCAGAATTCCCGCAGAATTCCCGCGGCTCGGGGAAGGAATCCCAGCTGGGAATGCTGGAGGGGGTAAAAATCCCGGGATCTGCCCCCGGGTGAGGCAGAGCAGGGCAGGACTGGGAAAGGATTTCTTGGGAAAAATGGATTTGATTTTGGGATAGAGATTGCTTTTGGGAGAAAAATGGATTATTTTGGGGAAGATGGGACTGGTTTTGGGAAAAGGGATTTTTTGGGAGAAAGGGATTTGTTTTGGGAAATAAAGGATTATTTTTGGGAAGAAGGGATGGGTTTTAGAAAGAAGGGATGGATTTGGTGAACATGGGATTGCTTTTGGGATAAAGGGCTTGGTTTGGGAAATCCTGGAAGCTCCAGGATCCAATCCCACAAGGAAAAACCCTTGGAAAAATACTTCCCCCCAGTCTTGAGACAGAAATCACATCCCCAGATTTTGTCAAAAAACATTTTTATTTCCCAAAGCCCCGAACTACAAAACAGAATTCCCAAAGAAAGCGCAGGGAGTTCCAGCTCCGGCTCATCCCGGTTTTCCAGAGCTCCCAATCCCGATTTTCCAGCCCAATCCTAACTGGAGACGCTCTGCAGGAGGGTGATGTTGTCCCCCTTCAGCATGATCCGACCTGGAATCCAACAGGATCAGGGAATGTGGGAATGTTTTGGGACAGATCCCGCCCTCCCCACAGCTGGATTCCACTCCCAACCCCCCATTTTCAGCTCCAACACCTGGATTTGAGGTCCCACATCTGGATTTTGGGGCTCCCCACATGGGTTTTCATGTCCCACACCCGGAATGCAGGTGTTAGACCAGGATTTTTAGGTTCCAACACCTGGATTTCATGTCCCACACCCCAGTTCTGGGATCCCACAGCTGGATCCCATGTTCCAACACCTGGGTTTTAGGCTCACATCTGGATTTAAGGTCCCACATCCAGGTTCCAGGATCCCACAGCTGGATTTCAGGATCCCACACCTGGATCCCAGGATCCCACACCCAAATTTCCCATCCCACACCCAGATTCCAGGCTCCCAACACCCCCTGACTTACCCAGCTGCTTCCTGGACTTGGTTTTGGAATGAATTTCCTCGGCATCGTCCAGCACCAGGTTCATGTACTCGTCAAAGCCCTGCAAGAGCAGCACCAACCTCAGCCAGGCACCTCAAACCCCCCAAAACCCGCGATTCCCGGGAGAAACAGGAACATCCCCACCCCTACACCGCTTTTTTTTCATGGAAAACGAGGATGAAACGGGGTAAAAAGCAGAGGGGTGACAAAGGGACAGCGGCACTCACGATGATGCAGCCTTCTATCCTCATGTTCACCTGCTCGTAGAGCCACACCTGGATCCTGGATCTCTGGAAATCGTGGAGAGGGAGAGAAAAACAGGGATGGGAACAGCTGAAGGAGTTTGGCTCCCTTGCTGCCCCCAGCTCGGAGGGGTCTCTGCTCTGTCCTTGGGTGTTTTAAGGTCCCTCCCCACCCCAAGCCAGTGTGGGGTTTCATGGGAATATCCCATGGGATTACAGCATGGAGGGGCAACCCACATTCCTCTCCTGTTTCAATGATTTTCAATGGAAAGGAATAGGATGGAAATTGGATATTGGGAAGGAATTCCCTTCTCTGGGTGGGTGGGGAGGGGCTGGAATGGAATTCCCAGAGGATCTGTGGCTGCTCCAGCCCTGGAAGTGTCCAAGGCCAGGTTAGACAGGGGATAAAAGGGATAAAATAGGTAAAAGGGATAAAAAATTTATAAAAAGGAGAAAATGACAGCCTGGGATAGTGGGAGGTGTCCCTGCCCATGGGATTGGATGAGCCCTTCCAACCCAAACCATTCCAGGATTCCCTGTGCTGCTTTGGGTGGGATACTG